AAAAAACGGGGGGGGGCGGCCAAAATTGTTTTTGCTTTGGGCGGCAAAAATCCTAGAGCCGGCCCTGGCCCCGAGTTAGGAATCCAGGCTCCCTATACAAGGCCTGGGGAGAATCAGATGCCTAAAAGAGGGATTCACTGAAGCCAGCACACTGAGTGGGGAGCTGTCTATGGTAACCAATAGGCAATGCCAAGGAGAGGGGCATGGCCTAAGCCCCACCTCTCAAATGGACTTAGCATTCATCTCCAATGGTGCTGGAACTAGGGGTACCCTGGCTGGAAGTAGTAATAAACACCAAATACATGGTTTCCAGTGTTTCCATCATTAGCACCCCTGCTATAAAAATTATTCCAGCACCCCTGTTTATCTCCATTTGAAGAAATGTCTGCAAATCTTCCTGTGGATTTAGGGGTCTAAGCCAGGTCAGTCATTTTTCATGAAAATCAATGATAAGATGGTGAAGTACCCCCTTTACTCAATAGGCCAGTGGTTAGGGCATTCACCTAGGAGATGGGAAACCTAGGGTCATGTCACTGCTGTGAATCAGGTAAGATGGGGATTTGAACTGAGGTCTCCCACATCCTGAGTGACTGCTCTAACCACTGGGATATTCAGTAGGGGGGGGGGGGACTCCCACTACCACCTACTCCTCCTGGTGGTCTTTCAAGTGAGTTGGGTGTGCTTTGAGCATGCCTATGGGATCAGGTCCCACAGGTGAAATAGGCAGGGGAACTTTCAGCTGTGAGCTAGGTGCCCTGCAACTTGGCAGTGCCAGGACTTAGGTAGCTTTGCGCTTGCCCACTGGCAGAAATTTAGGTGCCTAAGTAGCAGATGTGTGGGAGCTTTGTGAATAGCAGTGGCACCTAGATGTTGGATTTATGCACCTAATTCCTCCTTGTGCATCCAGTCCTCAGTCTAAATAATATAAAGGAGGTGTGATTTAGGAAGCAGTCACAGAAAGGGAGTCTAGCGAAGCCATAAGGAAGAACTTTCTATGGTAATAAGCTGTGTTTAAGAGCCATTAAGTACAAGGTACTACCTGCAGCCTGAATAAAAATAGTAAAAGAAAAAAGTTATTGTATTATTATAACGAAGTCTTTTCTGTTCTCTACCACAAAGAGCATTCCAGAACTTGTTGGAATTTAAAGTGACAACGCCTCAGATAAATAGTGTCTAACAGAGTTTAATTAGTCTTCACAAATGAGCTAGCTGACAAATTTCTGTTTGCAAGTCTTTTGCAAACTGTTCCTGATTTCTGAGACTGCATTAGTTATTTGCAAGAGTTTGCTAAACAGTTTATTTAAACAAATGTCAGCCTATGCAGTGTTCACGAACTGTGTGGTTTTTGATGTTCAACATTGGAGGTGTGAGATTAGTCCCTTAAGTCTCATGGTAGGCTCTCCCTGACTGGCTGGCTGCAGCTTTTTAAATGAGAATACTGAACAAATAAATAAGAGTCTTGTTCAAACACACATACTCTTTTATTCCCCCTGAAAATAAAGACACTCACCCAAAAAAATAGCTATTCCTGATATTTGTACTCACAAAAACTCATAGTGTGAGCACGATCCAACTGAACAGCCTTTCAGAATTCATACTAGTGCCTACAAACCTTTACTTTTGCAGAAGTCAACCAACTTTCTTTGCAGCAGAAACTCACAGGGTGTACTAGACACAGCCTATTTCTGGAGCTCCAAAGCTGAATCATAGTAGGGCAACAAGAAGCTGATGGGATGACTGAGCAGAAACAAAACATAGCAACAAGCAGCGAGACATGCTCAGCATTAGATAATCTTTATGAACACAAATCAAAAACAAGGGACCATAAGCAAGCAGTCTGGATAAAGGTCCTTTCTTCCCCAGGTAATCGTCTCTTTCTACCACTCTAGCAGCAAAATTCTTATAGCCCTTTCCCTGGACAACTAGGCCAGGAAAGAAGTTAACCCATTGCATACTTGGAACTGTTTTTTTAAAAAAAAAGAAATTTGAGAATCATTATGTTACAAAAAAATAAAAAGCCTCAAAAAGTCCCTGCTCATTAGGGATTTAAATGAAATGGTGAGTAGATAACAGAGACTGTACTGAAACTTCCCCCAAGTGTCTGTATTTAGCTGTGGAACTCTAATGGGGATTAGACTCTTCAGTTGTATTGCATACACAACTCTTATTCACATTTTGTTATGCTGAAGTCTGGTCTCTTTCGCTGTCTTTTTGTGACAAATGTAAAATGGACAGTAAGCCATACCAATGAGGTATACCAGTTATGCAGTTATACCAATGAGGTACTTGGCCCAGTATAGTTGTGTGGTTAATTAAAAATACAATTAAAAGAGAAGAAGCAATGAGAATTAGAGCCAAACTAAAATTACTTTAAACCTCACATTAAGTCAAATTGTGCCAGTGAAACCCATGCAGTTCCCATTAATTTCATTTCCCATTGACTTCATAGAGAGCTGTTGGGAGCAGAATTTAGCCTGCTGGTTTTTCTCTGAGTTACCCTGTAGCATATTTGATACAAAACCCCATTTTTCCCCAACAAATTTCCCATTCAGCTCACCATTCTATGTTGTTGGGGTCACTTAAGGATTGAGTTCAAGGTGAAGGAATGCATCCCCGGAACTCCCAGGACTCTATATTGACAACCAAAGAGAACAAGCTGTTAGTCATTGTAACAGGAAATGAGAACCACCTAGGTTGGGGGTTGTTTATTTTATTTTTAAAATGAGGGGTGGATTTATTCCCTCTACCAGTCATTGGTGGCCTAAGTGTAGGCACTGAGGAGAAGAAGGGATTACCCTTGCAGGAAGTGACATAAAGGAAGGAGCCTTTGGCTTTCACATACAGGGCTTTTTT